TGGGGGCCATTTGGATAGACTTATTAATGAGGTATTGCCCAAGAGTCAATCTGGCTTTTTTCTTTGGAACTTAATGTTGTTGAATATTATACATATTAGATTCTTTCTATGGGCATTGAATTCAGATTGTATTTGCTTGGAATTTAAATCATCTATTTCTTTTTCCTTCAACATATTATATTCTTTGAAGCGCTAGAGGCCATCAAAGAACTACTAATGAGTTCTTGTTCCAATTAACTGTTTTCAATTTTAAAATTTTTCTCCTTCTTTGCTCCTATGAAGGGGAAGATTAGTGAAGGAAATAAAACTCATTAGCAATACTCTCTCAAATTTATTTGTTGCTACTGTGCTCAGTGTTTCAGAGACTGTCTACATTATTATTATTATTATTATTTAGAGGGTGGCACTTTTTTTAATTAAATAGAATAAAGTGCCCCATCAGTAATTTGAAATGCTTTATAAATAACAAATTTGGAAGATACTTTGTCCTTAGACTCTCTATCAGGGCATCTGCCTTTTTGCTTTAGCATAATTAGATCAAGAGTTAATGAAGCCTTTTTCAAAATGATTAAAATTTTCTATTTTTAAAAGCAAGAGATGATACATAAAGGGGAATAGAGTTAATTTTAATAAGGTAAAAATAATAAACATAAAAATTAAAACAATTTTTTTAAATGTAAAATTTCTTTACTATATGATCCATATGTATAAATTGTTAAGATAAAACACTAAAACTCCAGGAAAAAACAAAAAAAACAAAAAAACAAGAGCAAATGATACAAGACAATTCTGTGAAAAGGAAATAAAAATTGCTAATAAGCGATGAAAAAGTCCATCTCACTAAGAAATGCAGTTCAAAACAAAACAACATTTTTTTCTTCTATCAAATTAACAAAAATGAGAATAAATGATACTCAGGGTTAGCAAGAGTGCAGTGAAACAGACTCTGCTGTACACTGGTGAGAGGTTAATTAAGTGAAATAAATTTGGATAGATGATTATCAATTATATGCTAAAAGTCTGAAATGTTCGTATTACTTAACCATGCCTAGAAACTTCTTCTAAGAAATGATTCAGAAATGAAGATGAGGATATATTTTATGAAGACGATTATAGGGAATTCTTTATAAAAACAAATATGGAAATAGGATAACATATGATAGGGTAAAAGCTTAAATGAACAATGGAATAGTCACAGTTGCTTATGTATCTATTGAATACCAGAAAACATTTTACTGTAATTTCAAAATTGATGTAATGTTAAATGAAAAAATAAGATGCATAACTGAATATGCAGCATAATCAGACATGCTTCATTTGTACATACATGATGGAAATATGTAAAAATGCTAATAAATTTCAGCACTGACATTATGAATGTATATATTTGTTTATCTATTTTTAGACTGAATTATTTTATAATACAATGATATGAAATAGTAAATATAGAAATCATAAAGGCCTACATTTTTAGAAGCGAGGAAAATAAATTTCATTGTTAATAATTAAGGCTTTGGTGCGTATAGAGCCTGTGGGATTTCTTGAGTGCAGCAATGCATTACTGTTAGTTATAGCTTTCCTGTAATAAAGCATTTATCTTCTGAATGAAGATGCTTCATTGACCAAAATCTCTGATATCCATGATTCTGTTCAAATTTCTCTTAACTGTTAGTTCCTTTTCTCATTTATAGACAAACTGAAAGATCTTAATTATACTTTTATGGCAAATTTCCTATTTTCTTCAATCCATTTTTAGCTTCCAACATGGTATCACAACCATTAGATTCCATGATTATAATACAGTGAAACCTGTGAGAGCTGGAATCGATGGGGCTGCCTTGTTTTTCCAGGTCTCACATGTTTTCTGCCTTTGACAGGGTGCGGTCACCACTGTTCTATCGCTCTCTATTCAGTGGAAAATATTTGAACTTCTTTTCTGACAGGTTTCCGCCTTACACAGATTCCGCGTTTAGCAGGTTTTACTGCATACAGTGTTCACAGTGGCCAGGTTGTAAAGAAGCATGACCACACTCTAGGAGAAGAGATCATATAGAAAGAGTCCTTGAGGATGAGAGGCCATTTTAACATCATAGCCCAGCAGAGATCTCAACTGAATGAAGCCACATAAGTGACTTCAGCCTCTACCAAAGGTCAGTAAACTCTAGCCTGTGGGTCAAATCCTGTCTTCAGACTACGTTTATATAGTCTGTAAGCCAAGAATAATTTTTGCATTTGTAAATGGTTATAAAATAAGCAAAGAGAAATGTGCTAAGAGATCATATGTGGCCCACAAAACTGAAAATTTTTACTATCTGGTCCTTTACAGAAAAAGTTTGCTGACCCCTGGGTTATACCATAGGGAGATGAAGAACCACACAGATGAACCCATCAACCCATAAAATTAATTATAAGAAATAACAAATTATTTTTTCTTAAAACTATTAACTGTCGGAGTGGTTTGCTGCACAGAAATAGATACATGGAACAGATACTTGTACCAGAGGCTGTGTGATACTGTAAATAAACCTAATAACACAGAGCATCGGTTTTGAGATCACTTGGCGACCAGAAGAATAATGAGAAAAATGTTACTAGAGACAGGAAGAACAGTAAGAAAATCGATTTTGAGGGCTGCAAAAAATAGAACTCAGGATAATTACTGTCAGAACAATTAGCCTGACTATTGCCTGCAATAACTTGGAAGATAGAAAACATACCTATGAACTTGTGGATATGGCCAAGGTGATTCCCAAGCAAAGAGTTAACAATGCGATGTGTCCTTTTAGCCATAGAAGACATGATATTGCAAGACAGATGAACTACAGACAGAACTATTTAGCTTTCAAGCAGAATTTAGAGGATATAGTTCTGACTCAGGACTTTCTGAGTCGAAAAATAAAACAATTTATTATCATTCACTGCTGAAGAGAGCAGGCAAAAGATTCCCAAAGTAAGAAGTTGTCTCAAGAAAAAGATCAAATTAAGAATGCTGCCTTCAGATAAAGATCAAATCAAGGATGCAGCTATGAGGCATAGTGTTTAGATCTCAGAAAGATTTCAGATTGTACGTAATAGACTCTCCCAGCTAGAAAAAGCTCTTCAAACAATCTTAAAGGTATTGTCCCTTGGCATCGTAACTCTTAATCATGCCAGAGACAGTGGTCTGTCTCAAAAAGATTTGTGGGTAAATCTTTTATGTAAACTAATAGAATTATAATTTGACACATAGAAATCCCACAAAATTTTCATAAGAGTTGTAGCAGCTTAGAATAAACTAATAGCTCAACAGAAAGCTGGAATATCTTTCTTCATTTTAAATTGCCTCTCAGCCTATTGCTAAACGATGTCATTTAATATTATTTTCAAATAATAATCATAATAAGGAGAATAATATAATAGCTAACTTTATTGAGCTTATTAGGTACCAAGCATTGTGCTAAGGACATTTTATGGAATAGCCTTATTTCTCTTCAAAACAAACCTCTGAGTTTTAACCTGAGCAAACATTTTGACCCACATCTAGATTTTTATTCCAAGCACTTAATCAGAAAAGAAGGTGAGCTATTTATATGATGATACACAGAGTAGCACTATTTATAAAAACAAAGTCGTAAAAGAGCCTCGAAATCTAATGATAGAGGGGAGTTAAATTAAGAATCATTCATATAATGGCTTATGATACATCCATGAATGAGTGAGTATAATTATTACTTTTATTTTACAGATAAGAAAACTAAAGATTGGTGAGTTTAAATTGTTGAAGGTCACACAGAATTTGGCAGAAATAAGATGTCAACTTTAGTATTATTACTTCAGAGGGCCCACTCCTAACCACTACTATCCTGCCTACACTGAATCAAATTATAATACATTTAAGAAAATTAACAATACTATCAAGTCTTGTGGATTGAAAAACTTTGTCCCACAACATAAAATATCTCTCTTTTTACAAGACTGATGAGGCCACACGTTCTCAGGGCTGACATGCACTTGTTCCTGGGTGTGCAGCTAGGGGATGGACCGTGGGCTTCTCTCTCATCTTTAGGCAGACAGCGGTTCCCTTCGTTCCAGCTGCTACCTTTTCGCCTGCCTCAGTGCCAATGATCTTTATCTAGGTTCCAGATGACAGAGAGAATGGGTCATAGAAGGATGTCTTTTGTGAGAAGGAGGCCTTCATGAAACCTGAGAAAGCCAGCTGGTTTGTGCTGAATAAGACTGAGCTTCAACTGTGCTATCTTATATATGCTATTTTACCACAAACCTGCCTCATAATTTTTAATAAATGTCTACGGTTCTTTCCTTTGTCAAAAATAGGAGAAATAAAAAAAATGAAACTAAAAAAAAAAAAAACTACATTAATGAAGAGCTATAGCTGAGATCTGAGGCACATACAAAAGTAAAAATCCTAAGTTATGGTTCCCATAGCAACTGCAACACAGTGGGATTTCACTTTTATGTTAAGTAAGTTTAACTTGAGTAGGAACGCGAAATACATCCCCTGAGCCAAAAAGAGAATTATGGAGAAAACAGAGACAATGATCCAGAATATTCTGGGTTTTAAGTACATCAAATATTAACCCTGATGTGGTATTAATATTTTCCTATCAATATTATATGTTCATCTGTAATGATTTTGAACTAATCTTTATTCAGTTTATAAGGTCTGGTAATTATTTAAAGTGGGAAAAAAATCCATAAAAATCTGTTAAATCAGAGAACCCCAGGCCATGACTTCACAATTTATAAAGACAGGAGCATAGTTCTGCTTGTATTTACTAGAGAACATTTGCTGAAAGTACAATTTATGAAGATACAATCTGATTACATTCACTGTCAAGTGCTTTAAACTTGACATTTGCAATTACTGTACATGTAATCTGAAACTGAAAACAAACATAAAGTTTTATGGGGAGGGCATACATATACCTTTTCCAAGACATTTGTGTTTGTGTATCTTTCTCTATTTCAGTAAATTAGATAAAGGCAGGAAGAGTACTTACTCCTGTTATGTAACGAGGTCTATATTGAATAGTTCCAAATAATCCAAGAATGACGATAATAATATGTACAAAATTTGCCAGGATAGGTGCCCACTGATATCCAAGGAAGTCAAATATTTGCCTCTCCAGCACACAAACCTATAATAACAAAAGAGGACAGATTGATCAGCACGTGTGAGAAATATTACAGTTTTGGGGGGGGGGTGGAGAATGACTTTAACATTGTAATTAGCAAATTATAACTGTGCTACCATATCTGGCATCTGTCTTTAACAGTGAGAATGACATTTGCAGGTATATTTCAAAGGAATAGTATGGAAGCTGTGAACTCGTAGGCAGTTCAGATCTTTTCAGGGGTGATTTTGTGCAGGCATCAAGCAGTATTCACAGGATGTCATCTGTGCAGTCACAGGATAAATTATATTGTCATATGCACTGTCAAACACTTGAAATCATCAACCAGCAAGTTAGGAAAGTCCACATGAAGGGTCTGTTGTTAAGAGCTGCTCAAATGTCATTTTATGAGTTGGGAATAGAACAAAGGGGGTTGATGTAGAGAAAAAAGAACTCTTCAACAAGTCAACAGACCCGGATTCTGGATGTAGGTCTGCTGCTTCGCAGCTGTAGTGCCTGACACAAGTCATTTTCTTTCTCTGAGTGTCTGATTCCTCATTTGAAAAAATGCAGGAATTAAACTAGGTAGCTACGATCCTTCTAAACCTAACAGGCTAGAATTATAAGAAAAACACAATTTTTGTCATACTCAGTTACCTGTAGTGACCAGGTTTAAAAAATAAATAAATAAATAAAGGCCCCAAAAGGAATCTGAAATATTGGAAAACAAAAATAAATATAAAGCATCACTGTTTTAAAAGTAAGACATTAATTTATTTCAAATTATATTACTTTCATCTGTGCTCAAACCAAAAAACCAAAACGGTTGCTGTCACGTTGATTCCGACTCACAGCAACCCAAAAGAAGAGAGTAGAACTGCCCCATAGGGTTTCCAAGGAGCAGCTGGTGGATTTGAATCACCAACTTTTTGGTTAACAGCCGTAGCACTTAACCACTGCTCCACCAGGGCCTCAATTATGACACTTATAAAAATCTAAGCAGTGAGACAACCGAAAACAAAAACAAAAATCTGAGACTGGTCATTAGCCCAGAAGTTTCTATTTTCTATTAAAAGGAAAACCTGAATAGCTGGCAAGTCTGATCAGATCTAACAAAGCAAAGAGGTCTGGTGTGAATTAAACCCAGCTTTATTTTTCCTGCCTGCCCTCAGGTGGAATGATAATAAACTGTCTGTTCAGACAAAATATTCTAAAGGACCTGATGTTCCACACAATGATTCAATAGTTTTCTCAGCCAGGTTTTAAAGGGAAAATGATGATTTAAAAAACCCCTCAGTTAGTAACATCACTATGCTTTAATGATATTTCTTGTCAGAAGGACATACTAACTCTTGATATAAGCACTGTGTTTTTAAATACTTCAGTTCAGTTTGAAGGCTTCTTGAGGGATCATTATTTCCACTCCAGTTCTTTAGCTGAGCAACGCATTTTCCCATCAGGCACTGAAAGAGGAAATAAACTCATGGCAACTGTTTGCAAAACACCTGTTTCCTAAGGCACACTGGGTACCATGTTATGGCTGTAGTGGTAACAACCCGTCTACAGCAAAGTCTTAACTGATTCCAGATCAGGCCACTAAAAGGTTAAATATTCATAATATTAACATGTAATCACGGGAAGAAAATGTGTCTAAGACAGTGACCGTGAACTTTTAAATCATGCATTCTACAAGTATTTACGGAGTATTGCAATACAAGTATTTACGGAGTATTGCAAATATTAAATAATGGATAGCACTGCCGTAGGTACTGGTGGGGTGTAGGATTGGGAATGGGTGATTAGAGTCAGACAATTTTCATGTCTGACTAGCAGAATTAGTCTTTTTCTATGAGAAATGTTAATAATGATTCCTAAGGGCAGAGATTCTCAAAACTCCTAAGAAGGCCCAAGTGTACCTGTTCAAATGATACTCCTGTTGTGATCTATGTATTTGGTTCTGATCCATTTCCAAATTCAGTACTGCTCGTGTAGCAAGCAACACAAACAAAGACAACATGATGTGACTAATACCACCAATGTAGAGAAAAGCAGACCAGGGGTGGGTTGACTGTATTTTAATAAGGGATTTTAGGAATTGGGTAGAATAAGTTGCTAAGTTCATCATCAGCATCATTTATTCAGTACTGATTTTGTATTCATTGAGAGCTCAGTAAAAGCCAAAAACAAAAATAGCTTGCAGTGTTCTTATTTTCATGGATCATATGGTATTGCTTTCTCTTAGCAAATGACTCTCTCTAGAGAAAACTCTATTGCTATTTTTTAACAGCACAATCATATTAAACATATTAAAGCTGCCATCTGGAGAATTTGAAATTTGTCAACTAGGTAAAAATGCATATATATTTTTTTTCTGAAAAGCTCACATAGTGTCCACAAATATGCTTCATGTATTATTATCAAAGAAGCAATGTATAGGCAGCTTTAAGTTTTGGTCTTAATAAATACTTATGTATCTTAGGATAAATTTTGATTTTGTGAATTGAAAACAGGGTAAAATACCAATCTAATACCCCTGCCCTCCCCCAACTAGAGGCAGTGAATTAACAAGGTCATTCCCATCATCTGTTGCTCTGTGTTAAGCAGACGCTGTGTATTTACCAGATCGAAGGTGGAACTGCGCCACTGTCACAGGGAACAGAAGGGAACGTCACAGTAACCCGCACTCTGCAGTCTTCCCTGTCTCCTGTCCTTCCCATCTGCTCTTTGCTGCCTCAGATGAAGGTATAGGCAGAGGTTTCAGGGCAGTGTTTCTATGACTAGAGCGAAGCAGCTATATGGAAGATGTCAATCAAACCTCTCAAACTCCTGGTTGCGTCTCTTTCATAAAATTCAATCTCATAAGGATGGAAGATGGAATGACAGACTCACTTACTCTGACTGCTAAAGGCCAATCAAGAGTTAAAATGGAGGCAGAAATGTTATCAAGATCACTACCATGTACTGGCAGTCACTGTGGCAGTGGATTATATCAGCAATTGCAACCAGGAATACAAGAGAATACCATTTCAGTCGGCTGTAGGAACATTTTAGGATTTGTCATGAGGTACGCTATTTTTGGCATGGTAAATACCATGTCTTCTGAGCTCTTTAAAGTAACCATATTATTGAATTCAACACAGATATGGAAATACTGTTCTGAAGAGGCAGTCATAATATTTGTTTTTCTGTTGACAGAAGGCTTCTGTGGCTGTCCATGGCTGAATGTAATAAAACATGATATTCTCTATCAGTTTTAGGAGTTCTACCATAGACTCCATTAATGTAGCATAGATAATCGGTACAGGCTCAAAATGATAAATTCTGTCAAGCTATGAAATGTATTTCATGCCTTAAACCTGAAAATGCAAAGCATTACAAGCATTCCTAAGACATGTACGTGGTCTCTTCTCTGTGTGTGCACATATTTCATATGGTACTATTACTGTTATCAATGATGGAGTACCTAGGTGGTGCAAATGGTTAACATGCTCAGCTACTAACCAAAAGGCTGGAGATTGGAATCCACCAGAGGCACCTCAGAAGAAAGGCCTTGCAATCTACTTCTAAAACATCAGCCATTGAGAACCTTATGGAGCACAGTTCTACCCTGACACACATGGGATCGCCATGAGTCGGAATTGACTCAACAGCAGTTGATTTATTACTATTAATAGCATTATTCTAAGCACTTTATAGATATGATCTTATTTAATGAGGTAGGCAATATTACAAGTTATGCAATATTACTATCTCTATCTTAAAGATAAGAAAACTGAGGCAGAGAGAGATTAACTTGTCTGAGGTTACATGGCTATTAAGTGGTGGGGATGAACCGATTCTAGACACTCTAGTTCTGGAGTCTAAGTTTTACCACTATGACATCACCTTCCAGGTGATATTAAAAAAATATATATATATGTATATATGATACATGTATTATACAAAATCCATTATACTTTGCATTGAAGAATTATTTTTTTTAGTTCCATTAAGTCATCTTACCATTTATTTTTCAGCACGTTCACTAATAAGTTGATAAAGTAACTCACAACACCATCTAATAATTGTTTTTAAGTAATACAGCTTTTTTCACTTTATGTAGTCCTCAGCATGGTACCACACTGCTTCAATGCTGTCAGTCTTCTGTCTCCCATTGGCATGCTGTTTCATTCCATTGGCAATGGGGAATAAATTAGATGTCTCTGAATTGAGTATACTACTATCTGAAGGGAAATTTAGGATACTGAATTTCTTTAACTGGCATAATTTACTTATTAGCTGTCCACAGCACAGGACTACTTACAAGTATGAATATTCTGCTGATGTCTTGGGTTCAGTATGATGAGGTTCTGTAAAACTTGCTAATAACTAGTAGTTTCCCCTGGATTACTCCCACATACTTCTGCACTGATGGGTTGAAGTACATGCTTATCTAGAATAAGTTGTGGCCTCGTGGGTCTCCTCACTCAAATTGTGTGTTTATATAGAATTTGTTGTAAACACAAACTCAAACTTGGTTATGTCATTTGTACTTGTTTATTATTCATTACACACTTAAATTATTACAAATACCAGTGACTTACGAGTATAGAAACAAAGATTATCTTTAAAATAAAAACTAAGGTTAGCACATCGGAAAGATGGCATAAAGGTATAAAAGAAAGTTTGTAAAGAAAACGATGGTGAGTGAATACTATAAGAAAACTGGAAAGACAATGATAAAAATCTGAAATAATTATTTTCCAAAATGATTTTACAAGTCTTTAAGTTTGTATCCCAGCATTTAACAATACAGACAATGAGTTATGGATTTTTTTTAACACAAGAAAGAAATGTAAAACTATAAGCAGTGCTCTCCCACACGAAGAAGAGTCCTCAGTCCTACATCAAAATTTTATAGTTTGAATTAAAATAAAATGTGCCAGGTATGTACATGTCACATTTATAATTGCCTGATTTAAAAGAGTTTTCAATTAACTAACCAACTACTAGCTGTGATGGCTAATGAGAAGGTTCTATTGCAATGTTATTGTGGTGCCAACATATTTCTTGTAATTCTGTGTAGAAAGTGAGTAATATAGTTATTGCATTACACCATAATCTAGAGCACTCAAGTGACTCTGTAGAGCCTAATTCATGATATTATTTA